TTATATGATATGAAGAACCAATGGTAGACAAGTATAATCACCGCATTAGAAAAACAATGTATTTGGTGAAAAACCCAGTAAGCAATTTTTTAAAAATTGAGAAAAAAATTAGAATGGAAGAATAGGAAAATCATTATAAAAGGTTTCACAGTTGCCAGTAAAAATAAAGTATCATTAAAGAGCTTGGCAACGTTCTAGTTAAAATCAATATACACACATAAAATGTTTCTCAGATAAACTATATATGTACATATGTATATAAATATATCTATATATTTGGCACTGAAGACTAAAGCACTAGACCGCAAGATCGGTTTGAAGTTAAGGTCAGCGATTCAAACTCACCAGCTGCTCTTTGGAAACCCTATGCAGGGTCAGTATGATTCAGAACCAACTCGAAGGCACTTCACAACAACATATTTAAGAAGCCTGATGGCACTGCAGGGTAAGCGCTGGGCTGTTAACCTCCTGACTGACAGCAGTTCAAACCCACCAGCTCCCCTGCAAAAGAAAGATGAGGTTTTCTTCTCCCATAAAGATTTAATGCTTCAGAAACTCTATACAGGGTCACTATGAGTTATAATAAACTCAGTAGAATTATATTTGGTTTTTGATATATACATATATCCATATGTTGTTGTTAAGTGTAGTCAAATCGGTTCTGACTCATAGTGACCCTGAATAGGGTTTCCAAGGAGCAGCTTGTGAGCTTCAACCACTGACCTTGCATTTCAAACCGACCCTGTAGTTCAGTGCATTAACCCACAGTGCCACACCATATATATGGTGGTACATGTGCTGGTACTGGTGTGCCATGGGATAGGTTTGACTCATAGCAACCCTGCACGGGGTTTCCGAAGCTGTAAATCTTTATGGGAGCAGAAAGCCTCATCTTTCTCCTGCGGACGGCTCATAGTTTCAAACAGGTAACATTGAGGTTTGCAGACTGATTCGTAACCACTACGCTACTAGAGTTTGTGTGCTCACTCTCACTTTTTTTTTCTCTCTCTCTCTACACACACGCACGCACATGAGGAGTATGGTGGCCCAACACAATAGGAACTGGACTATAAATCACAAGTTCCGCGGTTCAAGACCACTAGCCACTCCAGAGGAGAAAGATGAGGCTATCTGCTCTTGTGAACATTTAAAACATAGGAAACCATATAAAAGGTCACCATGAATTGGAACTAACAACAACTACATATGTATATGGTTATAAAAACACTTTTTGATATTATTATTATTATTAAGTGCCATAGGCGGTTCCAACTCATAGAGACCCTGTAGAGGGTTTACAGGAAACGGCTGGTAGGCTTCAAACACAGAACTTAGATATAGTAGTCCAGTGCTTACCCTACACTACCACACCAAGACTCCACTATATTACACATTATATAGTAAACTCACAGTAAAAAGTTAAATAAACGACCTTGAAAATCATCAAGATGACAAAGTATTCTGTAAGGGAAAGAAGGAATTAAACTTTGAACTTGAAATTCCAAGACACTTTGAAAAAATAACTTAGGTCTTAAGATTCTAAATATTACAATAATATACACAAAGTATTTAAATAACCTTAGATGCATGTAGGATAAACATATAATAGAAACATAAGAGATAGCTTTCAAACTACCCAGGTAATATATGTTGTTGTTGTTAAGTGCAGTCGAGTCAATTCCGATCCATAGTGATCATGTATAGATAGGGTTTCCAAGGAGCAGCTGGTGCGCTTGAACCACCGACCTTGCAGTTCAAATGACTTTGCGTTCTGATGCATTAGCCCACAGCGCCACACCAGGACTCCCCAAGTACTGTAAAGGTGTTGCAGACCGTGTAAGACTAGTCAGAGGTTCGAGGCCCTCTAGGGCTGAGTGTAACAAATGAGGCCACTGGCAGTTAATGGAAAATTGCTTTCATCTTAATATTCAGGTATATATG